GGCGGTGCCGGGGTCTGGTGGCGTCCGGAGCAGCAGGTACAGCACCGGGTGGCGCGGCGGAGAGAAAAGCAAGGTGGCGAGAAGCGCTATCGAGGATCGGAAAAACGAAAACCGGGTCACCGGAACAATTGAAATTGATTACAGTGTTGGCCGGTATGGGGGGGGACGTTTTTTTTGAGATTTTGGCCCCCGTACCTGCCCCGTGCCCTTTCCCCCCCCATGCACAAAATGAAATAGGGAGGGAACCCCTTTTGAGGGCCCCCCCCCCCCCGGGGGGAAGAGATGCTGGCGGAGGTGGTATCGGACATGTCGTGCGGAGTCTGGGTGGACGTTTGTTGGCGCCTCATATGGATGCGAAACGGATTGCCGGAAGTTTTGGGAGCTTTGAACACGTGGACGTGCTGGTAAAAATTGTCGAGTGGGGGTACCCATCGCAGTAGAACCGGGGGGAGACCTGAAACATGAGTTAGCGTACGGGAACCATCCGAGCGCGCAAAAATGGCACGGAGCGATTTGGCAGAAGGTGGTAGAGGATGTGGAAGCAGGCAGGGCGGCGCTGTTCAGGAGAGAATATGCTGAAAAAAATTCGGGTTTGCGCGTGTCCTCGGTCGGGGTAGTGGACGAGAAAGAGAAACTTCGGGTAGTACACCATCTGACTATACCAGTAGCGGAAGCAACGGGGGGGGGGAAGGGCGGCCGGTGAATACGACCCCCATTTTTGAGGAAATTCCGGCATGCGGGATGGCGACTGTCATGAAGGAGGTGTTAGAACGGTTCCTGGGGTTGAGAGCTAGGTATCCAAGGAGGACGATTTTGTTGCCAAAAAATGGACGTGAAGAGCGCGTTTCGCCAAATTCCAGTACACCCAGCAGGGGCGCCGGCTTTCGGGTATGTGGTAGGGTAATTCCTGGTAGTAGACCTTCGGTTGCAGTTCGGATGGCGTGGCAGTCCTGGGTGGTGGGGGCTGGTGGCGTCGGCGATAGAACACGTACACCGACAGACGACAAGAGACACAGTACGGTTAACGCCCTCTGGGGTACGGGCAGCGGCACACGTAAAGATAGCTCCGCCAACGGGAAAGGGGATAGTGCCGATTCCACCGCAGTGCAAGGTGCAGCCGGCGGTAGGAGGGGGGTGAAGAATGATCCGGCGTTTGTGCGGCTTTTCGTGGATGAAGCGATTAGTGTGGAAGTGCAGTGGGAGAGGGATGAGCAGGAGGAGCCAGTACTGCCCGCAAAGAAGATGACAGACTGGAGGACGGAACATGTGGTGTTAGGGTGGTTGGTGGATACCGAAGCAGGGCCGATTTCATTGCCGGAACAGAAAGTGCAGGATTTGAGAGAGAGGTTAGCGCAGAGGCCAGCGCACAGGAAGCAGGCTACCGTGCGCGAGGTATTGGTGTTGGCAGGTAAGCTGCACCACACGGCCCTCGTTATCCGGCCCGGCCGCTACTTCGTACACAGGCTTCTGCAGCTTGCGGGGCTGCATCTAAATGGGGTGGAACGGGCCGGAGGGGGAGACGCGTGGGGCAGACATAGGAAGAAGGCGCAAGCACGCAAGGTAGTGAAACTGACATGGGAGTTTATGGCAGAGGTGGGGTAGTGGCGGTGGTATCTTGGGGGAGGGGCGGGGGAGGTGGGCAGTAAGGTAATGGCGGCGTCGTTCAGCTTTGCCAAGCAAGTCCCTTCGAGGAGCTGGTTCTCGGATGCGTCAACGAGAGCGTTGGGGGGGGATTGCATGGAAACGAAGGTGTTCTGGAGGTACGAGTTGCCGAAGGAGGTACAAAGAAGGACGACCAGGGCGAGGCAGAAGGGAGAAGGGGACTTTATATGCATATACGTGCTAGAAGTGATGGCGATGGTGATGACGGCGTATGTGATAGTAATCTCGAGGGGGCATACGGTGTAGGCCGGAGCGGGAAGGAGAGGCGGTGATCATGAGGGCGGACAACGAGAGCGCCGTGTCGTGGGTGAAGAAGTGGGGGTGGGGGGGGGGGGGAAAATAAAGGGAGGGTTGGGGCCCTGATGAGGATGAAGGGAGCTTTGGAAACCATTGGGGGGGGGGGGTTTTCGGGGAAGGATGTACCGGGCGGGGAGAATAAGCCAAAAAAAGGCATAACCGGATGGAAAGAAAAA